CAGGTGGCATTGATGCTGTGTGACTTCTGAGTAGATCGCAAAAATGCCATGCGTTGTCACCCTGCTCCCTTGGGACTCTTGCTCTTGGAACCCGGCCACCATGCTAGGAGGCAGCTCAAGCAGCCTGTAGGAAAAGCCCATGGAAGAGGATGGACTGAGCTCCCGGCCAAATCAGCAACAACCTGCCAGCCGTGTGAGTGACTCGTCTTGACAGGGGATTCGCCAGCCCCAGTGGAGCTGTGCCCACTGACGCCTTGCTGAGCAGAGACGAGCCACTGCCCCCACATCCATGTCCTGCCTACATCGTATCCTGTGAGCAAAATAAATAATTGCCTGTTTTATGCCGCCGAGTCTGGAGTGGTTTGTTATACGGCGACAGATCTCTGAAATGTGGTCCGCAAAAAAAGATTTTAAGCAGAATAGTGAGTTCAAGTAAGTCCCGTATCCATGTACATAATGACAGACTGAACACAAATTGGCTTAAGGAAAAAAAGAAAGAAGGACATAGTGGTTCTCATAACTAACAAGTTCAAAGAAGGTTTGTATTAGTTTGCTAGGGCTGCTGTCACAAAGGGCCACAGGCAGCAGGGGCTTAAATGACAGAAGTCTATGGCTTCACAGTTCTGGTAACTAGAAGTTCAAGATCAAGGTGCCAGCACATTGGTTCCTGCTGAGGGCTGTGGAGGAGAATCTGTTCCTCTCTCCTTGGCTTCCTGTGTCTTCATATCATCTTCCCTCTCCGTGTGTCTCCATGTGCAAATGTCCCCTTTTTATAAGGACACCAGTCATACTGGCTTGCGTAAGGATCCACCCTACTTCAGTATGACCCAAACTAATTACATCTGCAACAACCCTAGCTCCAAATGAGGTCACATGCCAAAATGCTGGGGCTTAGGACTTCAGCGTATAAATTGGCGGGGGGAGGAGGGGCAGGGGGAGGACAGAATCTGACCCAAAACAGGGTTAATTCTGTCCTGGGCAGGTCCAGACCTTCTTGGCTGTCACCAGCCTCTCTACACCTCTCAGCTTTGCTTTTCTACGTTTGGGTCATTCTCAGGCTCTACGTGGTGTTCAGGCGTCCCAGACGTACAGCCTGTGTTCTAAGGTATCAGCAGAAAACGGAGCTGCCTCTCCCCACAGTCCCAGCTTGAGTGTCCTCCCATCTCATTTCCTCGGATTGGGCCGTGGAGCCACCCTGAGGCCCATTACTGCCACTCAGGAAGGCCATACTGTAATTGGTCAAACCCGAGTCCCCTGCGGACCCCTGGAGCAGGGCTTAGGGTCAACTCCCAGGAGAAAAGTGATGGGGCCCGAGAGCCGAACAACTAATGCCCGCCATGGAGACAGGGCGATGTTTGGAACCCATGGCTCCGGCCAGCTTGAGCCAGAGCCCACCGGTCAACAGGAAAGGGCAGGTAATGTGGATGGCTCCGTGCCGACCTCCCCGCAGCCAGCAGCTCTCTCTTTTTTTTTTTTTTAAGATTTTTTTTTAATTGGGGAATTGGGGGGATGGGAACAGTGCTGGGGAATTGGGGAAAGGGGAACAGACAAGTTGCTGTCCTTTTGTTCTTCA